TTTTGTATTTTTAGTAGAGACGAGGTTTCACCAGGTTGGTCAGGTTGGACTTGTACTCCTGACCTCAGGTAATCCACCCACCTTGGCCTTCCAAAGTGCTGGGATTACAGGTGTGAGCTACCGTGTCCGGCCCCACATTTTCTTTATCCATTCATCTTTTGATGAACACTTAGATTGCCTTCAGTTCTTGGCTTTTGTGAACAGTGCTGCAACAAACATGGGAGTGCAGATATAACTTTGATATACTGGTTTCCCTTCTTTTGGATATATGCCCAACAGTGGGATTGCTGGATCATGTGGTAGCACTGTTTTTAGTTTTTTGAGGAACCTTCAAACAGAACTGTTAATTTCCTAATAAAAATATAGAACATATTACTAAGATAGTCATGTTTAAGACTTCCTACAGATTTTTAACCTACTAGTATGTTTAAATGTTCACATTCATGTTTTAAATTCATGTTCTCATTTCAAGTTCATATTATAAATTATATAAAATACTCAGTTTTCATATATTATAGGTAAAATCTATGGAGTTTTCAGGTATATCCCTGATTTCTGTGTCTTTTCATCTGATATGTTAATAGTTGGGTCTGAGCATTTCAACCAATGATTCACTGAATTAGGTATAGTACAATAAAGGATATAAGCAAATGAGTTGGGGTCACAGTACCTGGGGGCAGGGATTTGTGGAACAATCTTCAGAGATTGGAGAATAGAGACTTGACAGTGTGCTTAAGATCAGATTCCTAGGGAAGGTAGCTCTCAGACCCAGGTGGATAGTTTGAGGAATCCAAATTTTATAAAAATTAATAGGCCTAAGTGAAATAGATAGAAATATGACTGGTTAGGAGTCCAGGGACCTAATATGGAAGGTTTCTTGTAACAATCTGAAGAGTTTATACTTGATACATGTGTGTGTGTGTGTTTTTTTTTTTTTAATTTGGAAGTGTCATAATTAGAGCCTTGTTTTTGGAAGATATATCTGATATTGTGTGGGTATGTTAGACTAGAGGTAGGAAAGACATTTGGAAAACTTGATCAGGTGAAAATTCGTGTTAAGGCATAAGGGGAATCAGGAATCTATAGACAGAAACGGGGAGAGGCTCATTAGGACTTAGTAACCAGTTTCCTATGGGAGGCAACAAGCATGGGAAAATGGGGAAGGGTGCTAACTTATTAGGCACCACTTTTGTGCCAGTATTTGCTAACTACTTCATAGAAAACTGTGGCCCATAAAACTCCATTTTCTGTGCAGATCAATTCAGAAAATCAATATAGTTGTGTTTACAGTATTTGACCATATTTTAAGTGGTACATATCTTGTTTATTGGCTGTCCCACACCTTCCCTAAGTTCTGTGATTTTCTAGAAGGACTCATAATCTTCAGTAGCAGATTATACTTATGGATAAGATTTATTACAGCAAAGGATACAAAGCAAAAATAAAAAGTAGGAAAAAGATAAGCATCTGCAATGGAGTGCAGAAAAGTCAAACATGGGCTTTCTAGCACTTTCTTTTAGGAAACCACAGAGGGCATGTTTTCTTCTTAGCAGTGAACTACAGGGACATGTGTGGAATGTCTCTGCCCAGGGAAGCCCATTCTGGTGCTTCCAGTGGATTTAGAGGGGCTGGTCATGCAGGCACTTCCTGCTAGCAGCTGGCCACAGCAGCGGAAACTCAGAGGACCCTCAGTAATGAAGCTAGGTGCATGTCATCAATGTTGATATTTGTGCAAGCAGCCTTAGAAACCTTAGCCTAAGAAACCTAATCTGGCATAATTCATTGCTCTGGTGTACATAACAAAATCATTAATCACTCACTTAAAGAACACTCCAGGGGCCACCTTCCCAGGGGTTGGGCAAGGATCAATCATGGTTCTCTCAGAGACTTGCAAAGAATAAGCAAGAAGATCTGCTCTGTTGTGTCTTTTCTTATACCCGTAGTGACATGTTCTATGTCATCCTTCATATTGGATCATATGCTTACCTAAAGGTTTTAAATTATACTTTATAGAACTCAGTTAATTGCATAGAAATGAATAAGAAAGTTCTTGCTTTCAAGAAGTTCACAGTCATAATACAGTGTGATAAATGTAATTAAGCAAATTAATAGTGTTAGTATGGACAGGGCAGTGATTATGTGTCAGGAATTCCTTGGTAAGAGTCTTTTTGGAAGAAGTGCCATCCGAATGATGAAGTCTGCAATCTTAAGATTTACTTAACATATTTACTGCATACTTAAGTGAGTTTTTTAAAACCAGTTTCATATAAAGCAATTATTCATTCATTTATTCTACAAATATTAAGCGCTTGTTCTAGACACTGCTAGGTTTTGGGGATAAAATAGTGAACAAAACAAAATTCATGTTTTTATGGGAGCTTTAAGTAAGTAAAAGACACAGGTATTCTTCACTGTTTTGTGAAAGCACTAAAATGATTTATTAGTAGTGGTAGTCATGAATTTTTCGTGAAAATTATTGGGTTAAAATAATCAACGGTAAAATCTAGCTTTATTTCTTTATCATACAGTAAAAATATCTCAAGAAAGGTCGGATGTATTAAGTTATCATTGTCAAAACTTTTTATTGAAGGTACGACCAGCTTTTTGTTCATATGTATGTCATTAGTAATCACTGTACTTTTCCTTCAATAGCAGATGGTGAGCTATATATATTTGGAGAACCTGAAAATGGAAAGTTAGGTCTTCCCAATGAACTCCTGAGCAATCACAGAATACCCCAGCTGGTGCCTGGAATTCCTGAGAAGGTGATCCAAGTAGCTTGTGGCGGAGAGCATAGTGTGGTTCTCACAGGTATGTGCAGAGTCCACTGTTTTGTTTCCTGCTTTCTGTGATGGCTAATGAAATTTTTTTAATGTTCATTTTTTTATTGTGATAAGAATACGTACCATGAGAACTACCTTCATGATAGATTTTTAAGTGTATAATATGGTATTTTTTATATATAGGTACAACCATTGTACAGCGGATCTCTGAAACTTATCTTGAGTAACTGAAACTTCATGCCCACTGGACGGCAACTCCTCTTTCCTGCCTCCCCTGAGCTCCTGGCAACCACTGTTCTATTCTTAGCCTCTATGAGTTTGACTCTTAGATACCTTGTGTCAGGTGGCCTTGCATCTCTTTCCATTAAGAATCTCACTTTTTGGGCCTGGTAAAATAGCTGACGCCTATAATCCTAACATTTTGGGAGGCCACGGTGGACAGATCTCTTGACCCCAGGAGTTCAAGACCAACCTAAGCAACAGGATGAAACCCCATCTTTACCAAAATTAACCAAGTGTGGTTTCAGCTATTCAGGAGGCTGAGGTGGGAGGATCACCTGAGCCTGGGGAGGTTGAGGTTGAGGTGAGTGGTGATTGTGCCACTGCACTGAAGCCTGGGCAAACAGAACCAGACCTTGTCTCAAAAAAA